CTATCTATCTATCTATCTATCTATCTATCTATCTATCTATCTATCTATCTATCTACCTATCTATCCATCTATCTATCTAACACACAAAATGACCACCCCTGTGTGTGTTTGTTCGATAGGAGCGACCATCACAGTACAACCGCGCTCTGTTGTTCAACGTGGGCTTTCTGGAAGCGTCCGTCCTTAGAGACTACGACTGTTTCCTGTTTCACGACCTTGACCTCGTGATGGTGGACGACCGCGTGACCTTGACCTGCGGGACCGGGCCCAGACATCTTACTCTGGAGCCAGGGCTGCGCCCAGGTTACGGGTGAATAGCTTTCTCAACGGTTTTCTCGTCTTTTTGTTTGCTATATCTTTCTCGACGTTTTTTCTGCTGTTCTGGCTTGCTGTAACTTATATAGCTTTTTTCTCATTTTCTTGCTTCCGCAACTTACTCGGCGTTTTCTCATGCTCTTGTTTGCTATAACTGGACCTTTTTTCTCATGATTTAGTTTGCCGTACTTTCTCAACGAATTTCTCATTTTTTTTAGTTTGCCGTACTTTCTCAACGAATTTCTCCTTTTTTAGTTTTCCAAACTTTCTCAGCTTTTTTAATCATGTTCGTTATTGCCGTATTTTTCTCAGTGGTCTTCTCGTGTTCTTTTTGCCGTAACTTCTTCAGCTTTTTTTTTATCATGTTCTTTTTTGCTATAATTTTCTCAATGGTATACAAGTTTTTGTTTGCTATAATTTTCTCAGCTTTTTTACTCATGTTCTTTTTTGCCGTAATTTTCTCGAAGTGTGTTTCATGTTCAGGTTTCCCATAACTTTCTCAACGTTTTTCTTATTTTCTTACTTGCCATAACTTTCTCAATGGTATACATGTTCTCGTTTGCTATAGTTTTCTCAGCGTTTTTCTCATGTTCTTGTTTTTCCGTAACTTCCTCAGTGGCTTTCTCGTGTTCTTTTTCATCGTAACTTTCTCAGCTTTTTTTTTTCTCATGTTCTTGTTTGCCGTAACTTCCTGAGATTTTTTTATTTTATGCTACTTTATTGGAGGGGGGGGGGGTATTGTTTGACGAGATGTCGGTATAAATCAATCGTTTCTCTTAGTTTTCTTTTCTGTAATTTAAAAAAAAGTAAGGAAGAAAAATATTTCTGTGCACGGCAACGATTTTGTATTAATAACAGAGCACCCTCCTCTGAAGAAAAGAAAGGAATAAATGTACTCCCCCCCCCCCCCCCAACTAAAGCAGTGCTACTGACTGAAGTGTCTTTAGGCTATTCCCAAAAGGGGGGGGGGGTAGGATTAACATGTTCTTATGCACAGCAGATTTGTAAATGGGCTGATTTATCCATGTCATGCTGATACTGCGCCGTAACATAATAGGGGGAACTGTTGCTTTTTCTTTCCTCCTCCTTACTATTGTGATTTTCCTCTACTTCCTTTGTATGTTTGTCACTCTCTTTTAAACTGCTAATTCCGGGGTGCCTTGATAGTCGAAGCAGACTTTGTGCTGTTGAGGCTAGAGAGGTGGGCAGAGTAAGTGTGGACTTCTCTGTTGACATCCACCAATTGGCTCTCATATGACCTTATGCAGCTGTGAACGCTGTAAAACCTTGCTAAGACCAAATATATTTTGGCTAAAACTAAACTGTAGATGTTGTCATCATTAACGCCTTTCATCCCTAGCAGGGTATAGGCCACATACAAGCTCCTTCCATTTATCTCTGTTCTGGGACGTCCTTCCCAGCTCTTTCCAAGTGAGCTTCATCTCTCTAATTTCCCTTTCCACTCATCTCCGAACTAGCTGTCCCCGTGGTTTTATGCACCCCGCATGATTTAGCAAAATTTGATAATTTAAAAAAATAATTTCTTATTATTTCCCTTTACCATTCTTTGTTAAAATTAACAGAATCGCATAATTTCACATTTTTGGGCACAGTTTGCATAATTTCAGAATTTTTTCTTGCATAAAACGACGGGGACAGAACTACGCCTATAGATGTACGGTGTGCTATTTTCATCCCCACTTTTTTCTCTCACCAGGCCAGAGAACGCCAACATGTTTGCGGGAGTTGCACTCTTCACCAGGGACCAGTACATCCGGATTAACGGCGCCTCCAACTTGTTCTTCGGCATAGACGGGGGAGAGGACGATCTGTGGAGAAGGTCAGTTTGTTCGCTTCGCTTTTCTCATATCGGCTGAGACGGGCATCCAATGCCGTGGGAAAAATTGGTTGTCTAAGACAGTTGGACGTAGACAGACAGACAGCTATATTATGTATCTTTCCCTCACCATTGACTCATTGCACGTATCTTTCTCTGCTCCCTGACATTATTATCATATGTATCCTCTTTCAAGTGACGCATAACACGTATATTTCTCTCACCACTGAAGTATCTTTCTCTGTTCCATGACACACGGTTCACCACAGCAACATGCTGGTGTCTCGCATGACATTTGGCACATATCTTTCTCTGCTCCCTGACATATTATAGTAGGTGCCTCTCTCTGCTCCCTGACATATTATAGTAGGTGCCTCTCTCTGCTCTCTGACATATTATAGTAGGTGCCTCTCTCTGCTCTCTGACATATTATAGTAGGTGCCTCTCTCTGCTCTCTGACATATTGTCATGTATCTCTCTCTGTCTGCTCCCCGACCCAGGGTTCACCACAGCAACATGTTGGGGTCTCGCGTGACATATTACATGTATCTTGTCTCACGTGACATATGGCACGTATCTTTCTGTCTCCACTCGCAATGTTAATATACGTATCTTTCTCTGTCTGAACCCCGACCCAGGGTTCACCACAGCAACATGCTGGTGTCTCGCGAGACGTATGGCACATGTCTTTCTCTGTTCTCTAACATACAACACGTATCTTTCGCTTCTCTCTAACATGCAAGACGTATCTTTCTCTGCTCACTCACATATTATATGTATATTTTCTCTGCACCGCGACCCAGGGTTCACCACAGCAACATGATGATGTCTCGCGTGGCGGGTAGTGTGGTGGCCTACAGTCAGGTCCGACACAGCGAGCAGCTGGAAGAAGACAAGGACAAGGTTGCCAGGAAGCTCAGGTCAGCCAAAGAGCTTGTATATTATAATACTAGAGCTGGCAGCAGTGACGTCACGTGTGTCAGACATGGGGGCTCTCGTGGCCTAGAGGTTAAGGTGTTCACCTCTCATTCAAAAGATCTCGGGTTTTAATATGGGTAGCGACGGATAATTTTCTTCTCTAAAATTGTCTCCTTTCATTTCCCTTCCTGCTCTCTAGTAATTTTCTGTCGTCTGCTTTCGTCTCCATGTTATTCTGCCGCCACCCCTTCACCCCCTTTGCCCCCTTGTCTGGGCCCGTGACTCTTTCTGCAGCATTTTTACTGCTCCTCCTTGGCTCCTTCTTGTTGCTGTCTTGCTGCCACATCCCTGATCTTCTGGTAGGAAAGATCTACACCTAGCCTTCTCGGACAAGGGCGAGAAATCTCGGAGGTTTCGTGAGTAGGTCGCGCACGCTTAAGATCCTTTGGTGGTCCAAAATAATCGAATAAGGGTTGGTTTCCGCTGCCACTCGGAGAAAATTCGAAATCTCCTACAAACTGAAAATGTTTATTGTGTCCTGCGCGCTCATATGACCTAATGTAGACGACGCAATGTGGTTGTGTGTGAACAATGAGCGGTGACGTAAGCGGACGTTCAAATAATATAATCTTACGCCTAGAAAGGTTTTGGGGGGCAAGGGGGTCTTTGGCTCCTTTACATGTAATCAAAGTGAACGATTAGGGGGGGGGGGTCTTGAACCAATGTAATATTACACTTCTTTTGGTCCCGGGGTGTTACTTTGACATTGTCATGAGTGCATGTATATGTGTATGCATTTTTTTCATGAATATTATGTAAGGCGATTAGAATAATGATTGTAACACGCATTTGCATAAAATAAATGTCATATTATTATTATCATTATTATTACTAGTAAAAGGACCCGTTCTAGGAACGGAATAATAATGAAGAAATATTAGGAAAGTTGAGAAGAGGAAAAAGACTGAAAACAGGAAAGAAACAAAACATAAATCTTTTACCTTGAATTTACTCATGTAGCACCCCCTCTTGACTACCTCTAGGGGGTAAGACGTCTTTCCCCTCTTCGAAGGCGTGGCATTTTCTCCTAAAATTCCAGCTCAATCACTTTTTAAAAAAAGAGTTAAGCCTACATGCCAATTGTTGCTTCCTAGAAGAACCTAATCTAGATTCTAGATCTAACCGAGATCTCGAATGATTATAAAGACATAGACCAGCAATTGAAATAAGGAGCCTTGGCCCATAGATAAATCTAAGTTTAGAAATTCACATATATAACAACCGTCAGGCGTCACAGATGGCTTTGATTTCTAAATCTATTCACAGCAGGAAAAATCCATTTTCAAGAATTCTTTCATGATTCTTGATCTCGATCTAAATTCACCGACAGCCTAGTTCTAGACTTTAGATTAGATCTATTCACAGTAGGAAAAAATCCACGTTCAATACTTTCATCATTCTTGATCTCGATCTAAGATTCACATAGATCAAGCCTAGATCTAGATCTTGGAATCTATGATGCACAGCAAGAAAAATCCACTTTCAATATTCAATAGGTTATCGAAATATCACAGATCTAGATTCTACTTTCATTTCATGATTCTTCTTGATCTCGATTAAAATCTAGATGCTAGATCTAGATTCTAGATCTCATCTAGACGCTGTGCACAAAAGACACTCATCCTTCGGGGTGTGCGCTTAATCCACTGCAGGAGAAATCTACTTTCAATACTTTCATGATTTTTTTTATCCTGA